TACCACATTTGTCCAGATTGTTTCAGCTCATACAATGATCGTCTTAATTTGATCGAGAGCATACCTCGTGGTTTGTCAGTTGTTTCAAGCAACTTAAGTCCTTCTGGGACCTTCATGTATATGTCAGTATCTAATTCTCCATGTAGATACGCAGTGATGATATCCATAAGTAGTATGTCAAGCTTTTCTGAAATTGCTAAACTTATTAAGTAACGGAACATAATTGCGTCCATTACAGGAGAATATGTCTCCTCATAATCAATTAGGTCTTTGTGAAAAACTTTGTGCAATGAGTCGTGCTTTGTATCTTGCAATCTCCTTTTTTTCATTGCATTTTCTTGTGAATACCCATTTGTAACCCGTGGGATTTACATCGGCGGAGTTTAGACTACTGGTCCAAAAACACTTCGCCTTTCCAAGGAATTTAATTCTGCCTGGATTGCATCTTTCCACTTAGGCCAATCTTGTCTCTGTTTGCATTCATCAACAGAGCAGGGCTCAATATCATCACTTAATATGATTTCAGTGGCTACTACGAATACGAACATATCATCGATGATTATTTCATTCTGATCCCACAATTCATTTGTACATGCATAATTTATGGAGATTTCTTTGCTTTCATGTACTACTGTCTCTTTAGGGACATATGTCTCATCAAGGACATTCTCTTTTTCTAGAAGTACAGAATCATGAATTACGGATTTTTCATTCATTTTCTCTTTCTAAATGATTTCATTTGGATTCAGCTGTGCCCATGTCTTTCTCTTTCGAGGGGCTGAATCTTTTGAACTTGGGGGTCTACCACACTTCAGGCGTGCACCAGATGAATCATTCGCTGCCACTTTATTTTGTCCAACAAGGACATCAATTCTTGCAAGTGCATTTGCAGCTAGTATAAGTGATTTTGTCACTTTCATAGCATCATTAAATGCATCTAGCATTTAATTGGCAATACTTTGAAGATGAATGATCCTTTTGACTTCATTTTCACATTGAGTGCTACGTGGATCAAAATGAGACAAGGTGGGTACAACCCATGTCAGCTCTTGCCGTTCTTCTGGAACGGTCTTTTCTCCCCTTAATGACGGGAAGACTGTCTCATCAAAGTGACAATAAGCAAAACGAGCTGTAAACATATCACCTGTTAGGGGTTCCAAATATCTAATGATACATGGTGAATCAAAACCCACATAAATTCCCAGTCTACGCTGAGGTCCTATTTTAGTGCGTTGCAGCGGTGCAATAGGCACATAAACAACACAACCAAAAACTCGTAAATGTGAAATGTTTGGCTGATGTCCATACACGAGTTGTATTGAAGAGTATTGGTGGTTGCCTATAGGTCTTAATCGAACCAATGATGCAACATGTAAGATGGCATGTCCCCATGTAGAAACTGACAATTTTGTTTCCATGAGCAGAGTGCGAGCTAGTAACTGAAGCCACTTGATCAATGCTTCTACTAAACCATTTTGAGTATGGACATGAGGAACAGGGTGTTCAACATCAATGCCCATGTCATGCAGTAATCATTAAAGGTTTGAGACATAAATTCACCAGTGTTATCAAGTCGAATTGACTTAATGGGATAATCTGGGAACTGTTCTCGGTACTTGATTATCTGAGTAAGAAGTCTCGTAAAAGCTACATTCCGAGTAGATAAGAGACAAACATGTGACCATCGGGTAGATGCGTCAACCGAAACCATAAAATATCGAAATGGTCCACAAGATGGTTGAATAGGTCCACAAATATCCCCTTGAATTCTTTGCAAAAATGATGGGGATTCAACATCAACCTTTAGTTATGATGGTCTAATGACCAACTTCCCTTGAGAACAAGCCTTGCAAGGGTTATCATTTAAGATAGCAATGTCTCTGCTCAATAATGGATGTTCATTAGAGTTGGTAATGATCATACGCATCATGATGGATCCTAGATGACCTAAACGGTCATGCCAAAACATGTAATCTTTTGAATCAATGAACTTCTGGTTCATGACAGCATGAAATTCAATTGTCCTTATGAATGTATAATACAATCCACTCAACAAACCATGTAACTTCTCCAATATACGCTTCTAGGTATCATTGGAGGTAATGTATAGATACTCCACATTTTCTGCACTTTTCGTTTCAATATGGTATCCATTTAAACGTATGTCTTTAAAACTCAACAAATTTCGAGTAGATCAAGTAGCATACAATGCATTATGTATGAACAATATTGTTCCATTTGGTAACATAATCTGGGCTTTCCATGAGCCTTCAATTACATTTGATTGACCTGATATTGTTGTTACCCTTACTCTTGTAAGCATCAAGCTTGAGAAAGACTTTCGATCACGAAGTATTGTATATGTGGTTGCGCTATCTGCAAGATAAATATCTCCACCATTTCTCATGTTCTGAGAATAACCATAGCTTTTATCCATGCTTTCTGAGTAAAGGGAATCACTGTTAAAAACAACTTAGAAATTCAAATGCTTCTTTACTTGAAATGCGAGTTTTTATACTACAAGTTCAAAATAATAAAAGTACATCAAATATAAATGATTCAGTCGGACCGATACACTTCATTCCTCCTTTCCACAATGAAGTCTAAGACATCTAGGTGGGTTGTGTTCAACTGTTCTGATAAGTCGCACATTGGATCAGGTATATCCATTGGTCTAGCCTAGTCGAGGAAATTAGTCTCGATACCCTTCTCCTTGAGGGAGGTTTGATATAGATCACCAGATGTTTTAGGGTACGACAGGTACGCACCCAATGCCCATCGCCACCACACCTATGGCAGGCTCTATAAGAGTTTCTAGAAGCATTGTTCATACGAGCTTTGACTTTGTGGCAATTTTCATTTTTAAAGCTCGGGCCTGAATTTTACCTTGGAATCTGGTTGTGAAACTGACCACCATGATTCTTGCCTTTCCTGTTCCACCGGCCTCGCTTATGGCCACATCCTCATTTATGATTATCGCCACCAGACGATGTGGCGTTCACTTCGAAGGAAGAAGCATTCACTTCTGGGAATGGTGCAAATCCAGTAGGTCGGGACTGATGATTTTTCATCAAGAGCTCATTGTTTTGTTCAATTACCAAGAACACAGATATCAGTTGGTTGTATTCAGTGAAGCCTTGAGCTCTATACTGCTGTTGCAAGAGCATGTTAGAGGCATGAAATGTGCTGAAAGCCTTTTCCAGCATATCTTCCTCAGTAATGGTATCCTCACAAAGCTTCATCTGAGAGGTAATTCTGAACAACGCAGAATTGTACTCAGCCACTGACTTGAAATCCTGGATCCTTAGGTGAGTCCATTCATAGCGAGCCCTTGGAAGAATCACCATTGTCTGGTGATTGTATCTTCAACTGTTAAGTACTTGCTCTTTAGTCCTTCATCAAGATGGCGACGAATAAAGATCATGGCCTTCGCCCGATCTTGAGAGGATGAGCTGTTTTCTTCCTTAATGGTATCTCTAAGATTCCTTGCTTCCAGATGGATCTTAGTATCCAGTACCCAGGTAAGTTAATTCTTCCCAGTAATGTCTAGGGCAGCAAAATCAAGCTTTGTCAAGTTCGCCATGTTCTTTTCTTTCTAAAAGAAAAGTGAGATGCGTAAGAACTTGCAATAATATGTATTCCTAGAGGAATATAGCGTTAGAACTTCTGGTTCTTACAAATTTTTCATTTTGATCTTCAGGCCAAAAAATGATAAGCACTCGAAACTTCAGGCTCGAGATTTTCATGATTAATGAGAAGGGCGATTGTCCCACACCATTCTCATCGAAACAAGCATAGGATGGACGATTATTTTGCACCACTTGAACAACAGGAAAATTTAAATATGGAGAGCAGTTTAAATATGCAGGGCAAGGTAGGCGATTATACCGCACCACCTAAAATTGCGATAAAATTATGCAAAGCAAGATATAATCGATTTAAATATACAGAGTAAGCTAGACATTTATACCGCAACACCTAAAATTTGCATTCAAATTAAATCTGCAGCTCATGATGGGCGATTGTACCGCACCATCTTTGATCGCAGTGAAAATTAAATTTGCAGTTCAAGATGGGCGATTGTACTGCACCATCTTTGATTACAGTAAAATTAATATAAATAAACACTGGGTTAGAAACTAGGAACTGCACCAAACAAGAAATCAAAGATATAAGTAACTGTTAAATTTAGAACGAGAATGAGGCATGGTGCTAGCAGTTCATCGCGAGGGTGCATCACGCAGATGAAGCAGAAGAAGAAGAAGAAGAACAGGAAAAACCTTAAAGGAAGCATTTTTTTTTTCTTTCGGTGAAGGGAGATGTGAACTATTTAAGGTTAGAGAGTCATGCTGATAACGTGTTAAATAGACAAAAGTTAGAGAGATAACATTTCTAAGGACAAGAGTGACGCAGGTGAAAAATATCACACTATGACTTTAACAGCTATAACACAAAAGGATGACAAATAAAGAGAAGGAGGGATACTGATATTATTTCTCTTGCTTTCTTTCGCATGTATTTGATAACAAACAGAGTACTCTATTTATAGAGCGACTTCCATAACTACAACCATCCATAAAACAATGATGATACTTTTGGAAGTATCAAACACTATTCCTAAGTCTTGTTTTTTTTGAGTGGGCATTCATTCAACTATCAATCCATCAATTTTACAACAAATTCAAAATTTTAAAATATTTTTCATTAGTTTGCCTTTGATATGAGTTTGATTCAATAAGGCAACTGAATCAAACTAAACCGTGCCGGCCCTAAAAACTCTATAAAACTAGAATTCGGCCCCAAAACAAACGCACTACATAATTAGAAAAACGTGAAACTAACAACAAAAATGATCAAACTTTTCACCAAAATCACCAGTTTACTACGAACCCAACGAATGCCATCCAATCCTTGTCCATGTACCTACCAAAAATCTATTCAATAACCTAGCAACCCATCCGGTTCTCTCTCTCTCTCTCTCTCTCTCTCTCTCTCTCACACACACACACACACATACACGCATTATCGTCTCCTTCCATCAGTACGCAACGGAGATACCAAGAAAGGCAAATGGGTAGTGGCGGAAAGGTTTTCACTTTGGCTCAAGTCTCCGAGCACAACACCCCCAAGGACTGCTGGCTTATCATCAATGGCAAGGTTCTCCCTTTCCCACTCTTCAACATATAATTTGAAATCAATCATCTTGCTTGCTTCTTGGATTATATTCTATGTCTTTATTTTTGAAGGCTTTGATTCAGTAAGGATTGGGAATTTGAATCCTTGCATGCGAATTCAACCATACATATGATGAAAATTGACAATTGTGTTCCTTGTTCAAATCGTGGATCTTGTTTTTTTTTGTATTTTTATTTTGTTTTTGTATGTTGTTTTTGTATTTTTGGGAACTCACCTGAAGAATCTGTTGTTTTTTACTTTGTTCAAGAACAATCTGTGGTTATGCATGTCAAAATTCATGCCCGTAAAGTAAATCTCGACATCGTTTCGGTTAATTTCTTACCAAGAAACTTTGATTGAGATCATGTCAATCTTTGGTGCTAATTGGTTGAGCTTATGTTTATGTTTATGGCTTTGTTGATAGGTCCACTGCCATCTTTAGATATAAATTCACATGGATGTGGTTCTTTAAAGCAGACTACTAAATGGTTGCATCTGCAATTTGGTTGCTAACTTGCTATTGATTCGACTACGGCTGTATGCCATAGGAATCTGGATGCGGACAAGCTGATTTAAAGAAAATATAAAAGTTATTTTGTTCCTCTTATCTCTTGGTGGTTTGATTTGAAAAATTTTGGTACTTTGGTTTGAAAATTTTATTGACATCATGGGGTTGATGCCTACCTTAATTTTTAGAAGGCCAAGTGCCAATCAAACTCTTCCTCATTGATTTAGACTATTTTGTTCCTCTTATCTCTTTGTAGTTTACTCCAATAGTGGTATCTATATTTTTACTGTCACTTTAGTAATTTATTTGGTATTTTCTTCCTAAGCCTTAGGATTTGGATACAAATGTCTCCTTCTCTTGTTCTGCAAATCTACGAGTATATGTTTTGAAACACTATATTTGATGTGTAGAGCATGCTTAGTGATGCGATTCTCTTCTAGTGTAGGACTTGCTAAAAAGATTACAGACTAAGAAAAGCACATTATTATTTTTCAGACCAGCTGATTTTGTTTGTTTGTTTATTTATTTTTGAATCAGATCAGCTGATTTTGTTAAATTATGACCATGATTTTCAAACCATCGGATTAGGTGTCCAACATGGATGAATTGTCCCACAAGTCATGACCATCACAGCTGAAATGGGGTATAATATACTAATTACTGTACAGAACTCGTGTATCATGGCATTGTAGATGAAGTGTCCTCCAAATCCAACCATTTCATGCCTAAGCAGAAGTTGTGCTGATTTACTTGCTAATAACACTTAAGTGATATGGTGTCTAGAGGTACATCCACGACAAAAGTGACAGCTTGCAAGTAAAAAGTGGAAATGCTATAACCTCAAGATATAATCTCCCAAATTTAAAAAAAAATAAAACTTTAACTAGCTTCTTTACAGTGATGTATTGTAAAAGTTAATTTGTTTAAATTGTTATAAAGATTTCTTAAGACACATCCAGTTTAAGGATGCTTAGATAGATACATGCAAAGGAATAATTGACTTTGCGTATAGTTGTTATAGGCAGAAGAATAATGTTTCTATGGACAGATGTAGGCATGAAGATGGATGAACAAGGCCAAATAATTAGCTGCTGTGCGGTCATATAGAATTATACTTTCTGTCGTCCAGAAAAAAATTAACTCATTGAGCTGATAACAGTGTAGAATTCTACTTGTTTCCACATCTAAGAAAATATCTTCTGATAATTTCCTCAGTTTAAAGGTGCATTCTAGGAACTAGAGGTGTGCTTGAAGTCTTAATAGTTTTCCACTATCACAGGACACCGAATGACCAAACTAGTATCTAACTATCAAGGTGTTTGGTATTGCTGTCTTATTTCTAGCATAAGACAGTTAGCCTGCTTGCTTTTTTCCCCAATTATATCATCTAAATACTGCCAATTTCTGTTTTTGGATCAGGTTTATGATGTGACCAAGTTCTTGGAGGACCATCCTGGTGGTGATGATGTATTGGTGTCAGCAACAGGTATGATGTTAAATGAAATTTCTTTAAGAATTAATTTTTAAATTTATCAAGAAATAGTGAGCAATATACAAACTACATTTAACATTTGAGTTAATCGTTCACACAGAGTCCAACCCAATTGAGCCTTTAGTAAGCTTATTTAGGTGTCACCTTCTGTTGCCCATGTTGCAATGTGGTTCAAGGTACTGAACCATCTATTTTTGTTAACTTTTATTTATTTATCATCCTTGAACCTCCATTGGACGCACATAGGCATCTGATTGTGATCAAATAAATAGACCAACATAGTGCTCCAGTTAAAGCTGAATTGTGGTGTTGGTCAAATAATTAAATAGTTGAATGGAGACTTAAAAACAGACTTTTTATTGTTAAACCACACTGCAGGGTCGGCCTTACTGGATCCCTCAGTAGGAGGGCTCTGATAAACTATATATCTGATATTTGTGCATATAATATTCACTGGTTTGATTAGATGAGAATGATTGGGATGAATTTCATCCATTTTGCAGTCATCGATATTTTGTCAAACGGTTGACAAACAAGTCCTCATTTTTTCTACTTTAGTAGGGAATGACTATATACGTCCCTCAACTCTGTTAATCATGTTGACTTCGCTGTATCATCGACATGATTAACGACCTGCAGAGATCTGCAATGTTTGTGATTTTCCCAATTGAAAAATCTTGTAGCGTGCATTCTCATATTATATGTGTATGTTGTTTCTTGTCTCTTCATGCTTTTCTTTGAATACAAAGTGAACTTGATGTTGCTATGTATTTTTTCCAGGGAAGGATGCAACTGATGATTTTGAGGACGTGGGTCACAGTGATAATGCCAGAGATATGTTGAAGGACTTCTACGTGGGAGAGATTGATGCCTCTACTATCCCCAAAAGTACCACATACACTCCGCCGAAGCAGCCTCATTACAACCAGGACAAGACTTCAGAATTTATCGTCAAACTTCTCCAGTTCCTGGTTCCCATTGCAATCTTGGGTTTGGCTTTTGGCGTCCGCCTTTACACCAAGTCATCATAAGGTTCTAGATTATGTTATTGTGACAGAATTGTTAGTCGTATATTATTGTGACGAGTAGTGAATACTACTCACTTGGTGTGGGCAATCTTGCATCGGATCGGATGATATTTTACTGGTATTGTGTGCTTGTCTTATCAGCTCCCGCCTCCCGCCTCCCGCCTCCCGGACTGAAGTAACTTAATCCTATGCAGATGTTTTTCACCGCTTTGTTTTTTATTTTCTTCTTGGGAGTCCGGCATGCCGAGATTCTTTTCCTTTTGACTTGTGAAGCAAGATGGTTACTGAAGTTTGGAAACAAGAAAGACCATTGAACTTGTCGTGTGGGCAAGTGGATTGAATCAAATATCTAGTTGAACGCCAATAACCGTGTGCTGAAAACTGAGAAGATATCATAACTCAGAGATGACAGATGACAGTTGTTGAATCAAGCACAGGTATTGTCGTTGGACGAGGCCAAAATCTGTTCGACTTAAAACACCATACAGTATCAAAACAAAGATTATCGACTCGATTTATGAAGTTTATGTTTTATACAAGTAGGGGTCAGAGTGGGCGAACGGGCCTGAATTCGTGGATTGGGGCGGGTTCATGTGGTTCGGGACGGTTATGGGGCAGGTCCAAAAATTCTTAAAACAAAATGGGGTGGGATGAGGAGGGGCGGGTTCGCAAAATTAGCGGGGCGGTGTGGGTCAAAAAATAAAAGGAAAAGTTATTGCGCTTTTGAATTGTTGGTTATTTTTTTATTTTTTTATTTTCTTATTTTTTTTTTGTTTTTTGTTTGTTTTTGGTCATGTCTCATAAGCGAGTCATGATAGTGGGACATGTACGTTTTTATGTCATTTGTTGATCCTGAACGTATCTCGGGATCGTAACGTGATAGAAATCCGCTTCCCAAACCAAAGCCTAGATCTGAGAATGTTCAGCAAGATCAATCCACCAAGAACCACATCCACATCCACACATGCAAAGAAAGTTACCAAACGTAATAAATGGAGGGGAAGGCAAAGAGGGTCTGTAAAACACTCTTGTTCCGACGTGAATAGTTGCACACTTCACCCAATATTTTTAGCATGCCAATTCGATAGTGAGATGTGAATATAGGGCATTGTGTCAAGATCGAGTCCAACACCCTGAGATCTATCATGATTATGGGTTGGAAAAGAGGAGGGGAAGCAAAAGAGATGAAGGAAAATGATGGCTAAAGGAGCGGGAGGAACGAAAAGAATGTATTTAGAATTTTGAATCTTTGGATGTCAAAGTTAGAATTCTGAATATGATGTATTTAGGAGTTTGTGGGTAGCAAATGGCTTCGCATTTTAGTGGGATGAGAGTGGTATTTATAGGAGGGTGGCCGGCCCTATACCGTATTGATCACCTTTGACTCTTTCTTAATTGAGTTGTTATTGTTTGTTATATGCGCGTGAGAATCCCGGTGTGCCTTGAGCGTAATCTTGTCTTTTTTTACCAAAAAGTCCACATGTCACCTCCATGATTTTTGGATTATTTTTGGTTCCACAAATGCCCCCACACCTATTGGGCTGCTCTCAGGAAAGGGTAGTAGGTGTAGAGATCTCTAATTGCTTAGAGAAACATAAGATAGTTTCCTAATTTGATGTAGATTCCCACTTTTACTTGGAATTAGATTCTTCTAGGAAAGGGAAATAAATTGCTAGTAAACCCTACCTTAATTAGGGGATTAAATTAACTTTGGACGGAAATTATTTATCTCTACAAGAATGAGAGAAAGCTAGAGGATATTTGTTCCCCCTTCCCTAGCATTCTTCTTCACTTGCCCGTGCAAATAACCATCTTCCATTGATTTCTTTGTCTTCTCCACGCCTCACCAAGGTAAGAAAAACTTAAATTTCTTAGTCTTCTTCTTAGGTGGTTCTGTCATGGAGTAGCTGTCGGGGGTGGTGCGGCACGCCGGCTGGCAAGGTCCAAGAATCGGCTCTACATGGGCCCAAGAGGTGGTGTGGCAGGGACCACGGCTTGGGCTGCTCGACTTGGCTAGAGCCAAGGGCAACGGTGCAGCTGGGGCAGCGACGTAAGGCACTGCGACACAGTGTTGGGTGAGCTGTGTGGCTCAAGCATTTTGGGCTCTTAGACCTGACGTGGAGCAGGTCAGCGTTTGAGAGAAATGAAGAGGTCGCGGGCTTTCTGGGTTGCTGGAATACTGGGCATGTAGGCCTTCTACCTGCTGGTCCGAGAAACAAAATGAGGGACAAGCCAGCATGGGCTAAGCTCCCCTACTGAGTACCGTGAATGGCGTTATCTGCTTAGTCTTCTTCACTGGGAGAAAAGTGGGCTGCCGCTAGGGATGAGATAAAGCAGAACAAGTTAGAGGCATTGGCTTGTCCGATCACTGTTGTAGAGCCCATTGCGAATGAAGGTGGAAAGAAGAGACTTTCCCCGCCTGCTTAAGAGATGCCATTGAGAAAAAACCAAAGATTTCCTCCGTTGCTTGTGATGATGCCGAGAAGCTTATGATTGACTTGACTTCTTCCAAGGGGAAGACATATGGGGTTGCTAGATTTGAGCTTATGATACTTGCCATGCTGAAGATGGCTAGTACGATTTCTTAGCATAGAGGTTATGTCGTGCCCCCAATGCCAAAGTCTATACCAATACATCTATTGGAAACTAAGTCCGGTTCACCTTTAGAGATGATTCCTACTATGAAGAGCAATAAGGCACACTCTGCTGCTAAAGTGGCGCTGGGCCTATTCCTCTTGTTGCTGAGACTGGTTCGACTATTGAGAAAGATGAATCTACTCGTGTAGACAGTTGTGAGAAGTCCACCAAGCCTGTTTCTGGAGAGTCTACTAAAATCTATACACTTTTGAAGTCTGATCTGCTTGAAGACATGGATGCGTGTGCCAAACTTATTGATAGCATCGGAAAGGTTGTTTCCCAAGTTCCTTTTGCTAAGCATATGACCCAACATAGAAGAACTGCTCTGCTTGCTATGCTGTAGAAAACGACAATTTTGGCAGCCGAGTCTAAGCTCCTTAACCAAGTAAATACCAAGGCTGCCAAGGAGATGGCAACGATAATGGTAGCTGATGCTTATTCTTCTACCGAGAAGATCAAAAAGTTAGAATCTAAGCTCGTCACTTTGAAGGGGTCCAATATCTTTGCCCTCACTTCTCTGTAGCTTGAGACCGCTCGCTAGGAGATCATTGACTTGAAAACTAGGTTTGACATGATCCAAATTAAGTATGAAAGTGCATAGAAGGAAATTGGTTGTTACATACCTAAGATTCAAGGTCTTGAGTGTGATATTTCAGGGCTTCATTATGCTGCCTTTGCAATGGACGAGGAGTTGATTGCTACTCATAATCTAGTAATCAACTTCAAGAACATTGTCGATATGCTTGAACCCCAAGTGTTAGAACTCCAAGGTACGTTGAAAGTCTGAAGAATGAAGTGGATGAGCTGCAGTGCATCCGTGTTGGTCTGCTCGAGGGGTGTGAGTAGCTCAAAAGGGAAAAGGTTGAACTTGAGGCTTCACTTGTTTAGTGGCAGGCTGATTTCTACAAGTTAGGTTATGTAGATCATCTCTCTGGTAGGCCGTCTGACTTTGGGTTTGCTGGAAAAGACTTTGAGACCTTATCTATTTCTCCAGAAGACATACTTGCCTTTATTTTCGAGGCTTCCATTGGTGAAGTAGTCGGAGAGGTCGGTGCCTAGGCTGGGGCAATCGAGGGCGAATGTGTGGTTATGAGAGGTCCAAGCTGTTGAAGAGTAGTCTTTTAGGTAGCCTTTAGGATTTTCTTTATTTTCCTTGTTTCTTTTTGTTTTGCATGAACTCTATTGGCCTTGCTATTTGTTTATCAATTTTGCTAGAAATTTAATAAACTTGTTTCCTTCGCTTTTCTTCATCTTCGTTTCTTTTGTTTACTCTCAACCTTTGACATTTAGACCAGCAGCAAGAGTGCTGCTTTTATGTTAAGCAGATAGGCCCACGTAGCCTATGTAGCCATAGATTTTTGTGTAGAACTTTTGCAAAGCTATTAGCCATAGGGTCGACAGTTGAACGCTTTACTTACAAAAGTAGGCGAGTCCGCATGACCACTTGGCCATTAGCTTTGGCTTTTTTCAAACCTTTGAGCTGTGTGGCCTACATCATAACATACTAAAGATTTATGGGGCATGAAATTCGCTAACCCTTCGTATCAAAAGTACGTGGTTGTATGGAATTTCATAGGCAAAGGTCCGAAAGAACACTTTGCATTTTATGTAACCAATTCCATGGGTTGCGTAGTAAGTATCACAACACTTTAGGAATCAGTGTAGATCTGAATGATCATTCTGCGCTTGTTAAACATAAAGCTTATCGACTGCATAGCATGTTGGCAGTGGATAGAGCTTCGTATATGCACGCTAACTGTTAACCTTTCACAAAAATGTGCAGTTGTATAAGTATAACGCGTCTAACTACTCAAAGGGCAAGCCGTAGGCAGTCTTTTGAAAACTGTAAGCTACCTTAGTGCACTCGATAACGGATTTAGGGTTCTAGGGCAACCGTCCATAGGGCATACTACATAATGTGTCTCATCTGTCTCTGAGACCCAGTTCCCCACGAATTAGGTAAAAAAGCCAAAAATCCTTCAGTTAGCTTCATCGTGCTCCTAGTTACACCAGGGCAGCCCAACCCATCCATGTTTGGATATTTGGAGTGTATAGTTTACCCTCTCGCATCAAAGAGCAAACCCACATAGGTGTCAAGGAATTAGTTTAGCCTCTCACACTGGAGAGCATAGTTAATCCCTAGGGGGTGCAATTCTTGCAATAGGTCCCAAAAAGGGCGCGATCTTCAATGAGAAGCAGAAGCGATCAGTTGTTATAGGCATACAGTTGAGCCAGGCTTTTGAATGACTTCTTTGATCTTCAAAGAAATGTATCAACTTTGCTGGAAGGTAGAAATTGCATAACAACTAGATAATCCTCAACTTAGAAGGTCTTGTTCATTGAACTGCTTGAGTCTTCGAACTTTGATAGGCCTAAATGGGGTCTAGGTGGTGATGACGAAATGTGGAATTCATCGTTTTAGAGCTTTCCCATTGGTCAGTAATGAAGGCTTTTATGAGGATCAAGTTTTAGGCTGGAACTGCTAGATTCGTCCTCTTATTGT